AATTACCATTTTTCCAAAAAATAAAAAATTGATAAAATCAATCTATTCTCACCTTTGAATATCTGTGATAAAGCAGACAAGTTTAATTGTGATAATGGGAATTGCCCAACAGTTTTTGCAGCAAAAGAAACAGTCAACAACAACATTTCATCTTGACTCGATAAAATTATTTAACGATAAAGTGTGTTGATAAATTTCGTGAGTCGGATCGATGAAACTCTGATACGAAAATTTAATAATTATTTGTTAATAGCACACAGCAATAACAGCTGAAATATAGCTTAAATCGAAGGAATTTGTCAAAAATAATGTTCATTGTGACAATGTGCTTATTTGAAAAATGAGCTTGATGCGAACAATAAATGAGTCATTTTTGTTCTGTTGATATCCGAAAATGCGGCATTCATAAAGATATCGAAAGATGTAAATAGCATTTGTTTAGTCATAACAAAACCGCGCTATTAAAATTAATAAAGCTCACATGGCAGATGGTTTGCCAGTCAAAACTGTTGATAAGCGCACCATTCAAGTAAAACGAATACGATTTTATTTAGAAACTCCATACCACGACCCATTTAGAGCGGAATGATAAATTTGGCAAATGTTTCATTGATTACCCGTTGAAACTGAAATTGAAATTTGCTCCAAAATGAGAATAAATGTTACATTGAGACTGTAATTTATTTCAAGCTAATTTTTTGTTCGTTTATTTTTCTTTGTTGTGAAAACAGGAACAACGAGAAGCGCAAGGAGAAGTCTCGTGATGCGGCCAGATGTCGTCGGTCTCGCGAAACGGAAATTTTCACGGAGCTTGGTGAAACGTTGCCGGTACGAAAAGATGAATTGGAAAATCTTGATAAATCATCCGTGATGCGTTTGGCAATTGCTACATTGAAAATCGAAGACATGCTGCAATTATGTGAGTTAGACATTCTGATTAATTTCATTGAAATACGTAAACACAACTCTTGTCTGTCTGCAGACATGTCTGTCTGGCTGGCAGAGAATTCATGAATTATACGGTATTTGCATTTATTATTGCATTTGTTCATTTTTTTTTCTATCCGCCTCTCTCTCCTCTTCTCTCTTTGTGTCGGTGTAGTTAAATTTGAGGATGCAGCAAAACAAAAGGTTGAAGATCAACTACTCAACAACATTGACGAAAATGTTGTAATGAAAGCTCTTGACGGCTTCTTGATTATGCTCTCGACCGATGGTGATGTTATATATGTATCAGAGAATATTCACGAATATATTGGCATTCATCAGGTATGTGGGGGCGATATTATCTCAAGTGTTTTATTTTGACTGAGATTTATCGATATATTTGTGTCTATTTGAATTTATTCCTACAGATTGAGATCCTTGGAAACCCAATTTGGGATTACACTCATCAATGCGATCACAATGAATTGCGCGATATTTTGAAAGCGCATGCAGAGGACCACAAGAAAAATTCCGAATCATCTTATCGCAATGTTTCGATTCGTATCAAGTGCACGTTGACGAGCCGTGGTCGCAGCGTTAACATAAAGAGTGCAACCTACAAGGTATGTCATTCAATTAACCGTTTCCAGTTTTATGTTTGGGAGTAATAACAAAAAAAATGAAACCAATCTAATTCTGACAATTGCAGGTCATTAACATTGAGGGTCATATTGTATTGGATAAAGCAAAAAATCATCACCAATTCATTGGAATTGCCCGTTTAATACCACATCCATCGAACATTGAGGTGCCATTGGATTCGAAAACATTTCTATCGAAACATTCATTAAATATGAAATTCTCATACGTCGATGACAAGTACGTTACTTTTTTCTCTATACTTTTGTCAAAATTATAAAAAAAAATCAAAAGACCGGTGGGATGGAATCCCCAATTAAAATTAATTGATTTCACAAAATAAAATTTTACTTTTTATTTCGATTGATGTTTGCAGAATGCTGCCAATTTTGGGATATAAACCATCTGATTTATTGGATAAATCATTGTACGAGTACCATCACAGCGTCGATTCCGAAGCACTAATGGTTGCATTTAAAAATGGTAAGTAATTACCTTCGTGTTATACTATATCTATTTCTCATGATTTGCTCGAATCCAATTAGAAAGCACTTACAATACATCCAAATGTTCCATTCACCTTTTCAAACTTAAATTGCTGGAAATGTTTCTTTATAAACATATTTGTTTTGAAATTAATGTGTTACGCCACCAAATACCCAGAGCGCGTTTGAATTTTCACTCGTTCTCCGTATCTCTCTCTCTGCCGGTAGTGGGTTGTGGTTTTATTTACCTCACACACAGTACATTTTTCACAATTATTTGACTTGTTCACTATATTCTCGTGCAGATTGAAAATCTATTTGCTCTTTTCACACCAACAGCGAAACAACAACAACAAAAAAGAAATACACACACACACACACGAAAAATCGAACAAATGAGAAAGAATAAGAAAATAACGACGATGACTAACGTCGAAAGAAAATAACGATTCCGGCGATCGGTGGAAAAACTTTGATTCGAACATTAATTAAAAAGAAAGTTTGTAACATGCTGTCAAGTAACATTCTACTACCATATCCTTCCTTCTTCCACTTTATCGATTAATTACTGTGTGTTCGGTGCAGTGCAGAAGCGCCACCAGTAGCTGTAGTTAAAGTGAATCAAAGTAAAAGAAAAACTTTCAAATCGCACTAGTTTATAAACATTAATTTATGTAAATTTTAATGCGCTCCCGTTCTTTAGATCTCAAATTACGATATTTTCAAAGTTTAGTGAACTAATGGCATTTTGGTGCTATGTGCACCACACCAACTGCAATTGCTGATGATGCTTCGATTTCGACTTCGGTTTCATTGGTGCTGTTCATGCGGTTCGGAGGTTTTGAGCGTGCACGCTGCAAGTTTGGTGTCGAGCGGAAAAACTTGTTGATTTCATTAATTTTCGATGCTTGAGGATTTAATTTCATATCATTTTTTCACTCGACAAGCTAAATCGTCTAAAGTTTGTGCAACAACAAAATTTGTGCATCGGAAGCGAAAATGAAATTAACATTTCTGCTTGTTCGGCAAACTTCTGCAAAAACATTGAGACACACACACTCCTCCTTTCGCTGGCCACCAAAAAGTGCCAGCACATTTCAACTCAACGATATTGCAATAATAATTGAGCATCGAATCGAAATCATGGGGCAATCAATTTGGCTTGCGGTGATTTCAAATGGAACAAAATCATTTTGTTGCCGTTGTCGTGGGAACAATTTCAAGTTCTCTAAAATTAACTTTCCACCAAAGTGAGAATTTGCGCCAAAACAAACAATACAATCGAATATTGCGATCTGAGTGCGTAAAGTTTGAGGTTTTTATTCTTCTGGTTTGACTCCAAAAATAGTGAATGACTACGGTTTCTTTTGTGTAAGCAAAATCCAAAGTGTCATCCGTTTGCCAAATTCAATTAAAATGTTCTGCTTAAGTGAACGCCATGACATCGACACTTCCCATTTTTCGTAAACCATTCAACTATACTATTCTATTTATTCTCTCACTCTCATGTAAAATTTGCACGCGCTCCTGCACACTCCCACAGATATATTCCCATTTAGCCAAATTGTTACGAATTTTATTAGTAGCACACTGTGATGCGTAAAAATAATTTCACACTCTATCTCTCTCCGTCTTTCCCTCCATACGCCAAAGATAAGCAATGCTATTGTTCCGATAAAATAATAAATTTAAAATGGCTTGCATTAAATGCTGAGTTGCATCTGTGAATAGCAAAGTTTGGCGTCTTCTTCTTCTTCCTACTCGTTGAATATGCGACATAACGAAATAGGTAATGCCAGTTTAGACTCAAATGGAGTGTATGCATGTGTACGTATAATGCTCTGAATACATCACCGAAAATATTTGTCGGATGAAAATTTATAGTTTCGTCTCGATCGTTGTATTTTCTCGTTGATTTTGTGGTTTTTCCGTATAATATAATACCCGAGACATACGCGCGCACGCACACACACATTGGGTGATTTTGTTCGCTCGTAAACGATATATTTGAATCCTTATCGACCCAGAAAATCTGCATATAAGGACAATGTAAAGTCTTGTCTGATAAGTTTCGTGCCCGAAGTGTGGTTTTATATTTTTGCATCGAAAACATACGGATTTCAACACACACACACAAACACATGCACAGCCCACCCACCCACAACAAAAGCACTCAAACCGAAGTGGCAATAATGTACCTATATTATCTTTACTTTGAATCTCACTTTGTGCTGTGTTATTTCAGCTTTTTCTGAATTTTCTGTAATCAGCCCAGATGATTTTCACTTGCATTTTACATCGCCACCGCCGCCGTCTTATCGTCACTTCTGCTTCTGCTCTGGCGACGTCGGCATCGTCAGTCAATCCATGTGTTTTATTTGGCTGCGCGATGTGCCGTGTAAGAAGTTCATTTACATCTTTCACGCCATTTTATAATTTTATAAACATGAAATGCATTTCGCATAATTTATTAACCTTTTTCTTATTCGTGCATTCGAAGAATGGTGTTTGCCATTCAGCATTCACTTGGATGACTGGCTCGTTGTTGTACTATTATTATATTTACTATTTAGCTTACTATACACCAAAGGTGTTTATGCAGACCAAAAGGAAACGGTTTTTTCGAGGACGGTTTTTTTCCACCGTTGCGAACCAAACCAAACAACATCCAAAGATGCAATAAGATTGAAAAAAAAAACTTTGCACTATAGTCGAAAAAGAAGGTGAAAGAGAGAAAAAATACGCATTTGCACAAAAGAAGTATAAGAGATTTGCTAAACAATGAACGAAATCGTACAGCATGTAAAGGATTAAAGACCTTATCACCTTCATGCAAACACATTGCAAAGCAACAAAACAAACAAAATAAAATACAAAAAGAGAAAAAAAGCTAACGCGCATCAGTTTTTAGTGAGAGAGATAGAGTGAGAGAGAAACAAAAATACAAAATACAACCGAACTAAAGATCTCTTGACATAAAAAATTTATTATCGCAACGAGCATATAAACATGAAGTGGAAGTGTGTAACGAACACCCGACACTTCGTTCGTGCAAGCATACACGCATTCGCTCAACGAAAAACGGTTTATTTGTACTGACAAACTGATAGAAATTATGTTTCAAATATTTGGTTCTCGCTCTCTCTCTTATTTTCGCCTTCTCTGGCATCCACGTCACACCACTCCTCCAAAAATATACTCGCCGATCGCTGAATTCTTTGTTAATTTGTTGATGCAATAAAATCGTTGAAAAAATAATAATAATAATAATAAAAGGGAGCAAGTTTTTGTTTTATGTGTCATGCACACCGAAACGGATACACATAAAACACACCAACACTATAAGCCGCATGATAGCAGAGCTTGAGTTGCGTTCACCTTTTGAAAAGTACACTCAAGTCGTTTTTATTCACTTCTCCATCATCACTGACTGCTACAACGTCTTTTTTTATCGTAAATTACTAATCATATGAACCTGTATTTCTGGTAATTCATTTCGCGCATTAGTTATTCTAACGACGAAATAGAATAGTTAATGGAAAATCACGCCATAGCATCCAATAAGAATTGAAACAAAGGTTGCTGCCGTCGTCATCGTCATCGCAGTAGCAAATGTTGACATTTAGTGTGCTCACGATCATTGCGTGAGCAATTCTCATTAGTACATAAAATGCATATGATACAATTGTACGGATGTCATTTCATAATACTGCCAAAATGAAACCGTATTTGGATGCTCTTTGAAAAGCGAACAAAAAATGACAAAACAAAAGTATGGATTAGTGTAAAAAGCACTGAACGGGTTAATCTGCTTCAAAAAGTCATTTGCACCGAACTTTATTACTGGCGGATTGTTAAAGAAAACTCTTTAAAAACCCATTTTCATAAATGAGAAATCTTACTGAATGAAGATAAACAAAAAATATGCATCACTTGGGTGAGCATTAAATCCTTGCACACACACGCACATTGGCACAGAGTGAAAAAAAAGAAGAAATATTGTTAGAGGGTTTGGGGGCAAAAAACAAATACATCGCATGAATGAAACATGCGAAATGGTGCAGTGAAATGGGAAGAAAATCGTATAGTTTACGACATTGGATTACAAATGACTTACAAAAATACATTGTGTGTAAAACTCTCTCAATGCATTTATTATCCCCCGTGTGAAATGTTCATTTTGCGCTTTTCGTTTCATTTCCAAAAGAATTATGATTTATATTATTATTATTATTATTTTTGATATGAATAAATAAAAAATGCGTCATAAATTGCAAATATCAAATCAAATGGCAACGGAGCGACCGTTTTATGTTGCTGTCATCGTCTTCGTGGTTAAAAAACAACCCGACGATTGAGTGAGTTCGAGATTTACAGCCAGAACCAGCAACCTCGACTTGGACATTGCACATTTTTCCCGACCATTTGCTGCGTTGCAGCACATAAAAAAAATGGCGCGCGAGCAATGGAGCTGGTGGAAAAAGGAAATGAAAATGAACGCAAAAGAGGGAAAACCATGTGAAAGATAGTGTGCGCACATTGGTAATCGGACGATGATCATTGGATTATAATCAAATTTGTATAAATTGAAATGCATGGCTCTTGAAACCGGTCATATACATATTTTATGATATTAATACACATTGGCTCGTTTGTGTTCCGTTTTGTGAGTCGAACGATAGCAGAGAACAACTGTAATGGTTGAAATGGAAAATCGTTGTTAACGTTAAATAATATTTTGAGCTGGCTCTCTGTGCCGTTGCACCATAACTCTCTCTCACTCTCTCCCTCTCTTTTTCTTTTTCGAACGCCACTGTTTTCGGTTTTTACGAGCACTTAATTAAGCGTCAGCATATTTTAACTGCAACGGTGCAATGCACTCTCCGTTCATTCTAGTAAACATATCAAATCAAGCGCCCCAATCCTATGGCTATGTAATCTTCAGATGCAATCCCAACGACATCAACAACAAGCACAAGAAAATAAAAAAAGGAGCAC